TTTCTTAAGGCAAGGTTCCTTATGAATGAACAGGAGCTTTGTGTGGTCCTTGTGTGCACTTTAAATAATTCAGATCACAGTGAGAAGTCACTCACTATGCAGACATGGACTCTGCTCCTGTTAGCTCTGATGGAGGTGCCCTAGTACAGCATGCCAGTTAGCGTGGTGGGGATCTTGATTGGCCTACTGTGCCAAACCAGATGTCCTCTCCCCAAAAGCAAGTGAAGTCAGAAAAAAGTAGAGACCGGACCTCTTCCATGCTCTTGAGGAGGAGCCCTCACCCTTCACTGAGGTGCAGCTTTCCAGAGAACAGCTCACTAACAAACACCACAGCCATCAGGTTCCTGCAACAGAGGAAGCTCATAACTGCAAATGCAAAGAGTTTCTGGTAGAAGGCTTGACAACGTGCTTCGCAGCTCGGGGGGATCTGCTGACATTTTAATTATCACTCCTCGTCTAATTAATGAGTCAGGGTTCTGCGCTCCACTGTCCAGCGCTGTCCAAACCCCCCCCCGCGACAATGCCCCCTGTGCACAATTATCCAGGAGATGGATGTAGTGAGTGCGGAGGCACTGCTGATAATGGCAAGACGAAGATGGGCGAGAGAGATGTCATAGAGTATCTCTGCGAAGTGCAATTTGCAGCTGGACTGTTTATAAGAAGGCCTATTAACATTAGAGGGCCAGACGCAGGGTGGACAGATTTTGAAGGCCTCTTGGCCTGAGACGTGACAGAAGATGTGGAGCTTGTGTCGTGCGCTTGTTGAGAGTCGGCTCATCGCCATCTCTTTTGTAAATGTGCCTCACTTCGAGAACAGGAGAGAAATGACATTAAATACCACCACTGTCGTTTTTCACATTTCCTACCGTCTGATTTGCAGACACTGTACGAGGTCACTGTGATAAAGCTCCGCAGATTTTCATCGCGGCTTCCTTGATCCTTCGAAACAGAATTTGCTTCGGCTTCTCTCGTGCTTTCTCTGTGCATTATGATGCAACGCTACGATGGCACGGCGTGGCTCTTCGGGAGAACATTGATTTTGCCCAAGAACACAGGTCAGATAGATCCATCTCAAGCTGGGTCTGCCTGTGTTGTGTGTGGAGAACGTCCTTGTCCCCGAACCAACTGCTTTGCGCAAGAGAAATAGAAATAGAAGATCAGTTGCCTCCCGCTGTGCAATAAAGAATACTTTCCCCGTCACAGGAGCGATAGATTTGTATGACAATTGCATTTCTTTCACATTGACATTCCGTGATCTCTCACATACGGGGGGAAGCTGGAGGTGTGTGGGGTGGGGAGCAGTGCGATCTGAATACCAAATGGGAACAAATTGGAAATCACGCCATCTATCAGGGTGCCATTTCCTACTGATTGGACGGCGGCCGTTGGAAGGGCCAGATAATTGTCTTTGACTGATGAACAGCCGCACCTGGGGGTGATGGCAGGAGCCAGTGATCCATCAGCAGGGTTGACGCAGTCGGAGACGAAGCCTGGGTCTCGGATTCTCAGTGTCCCGGTCTGGACCCAGAGGAGTGGCCCCTCCATGGCATTCTGGGAACAGAGGAGTCTCTTCGATTCCTGCTCTTCCGTTTCTTCCACCCCCTTTTTTGTCGGGCAGCGACATTTTCCAGACGCCCCCCTCGCCACCTCTTAATTTACCAGGTATTGATTTTGCGAGCCCCCTTGCACTCTTTCTGTAAATATTTCAGTATTTCCGCAAGGGTTGATGCGTTTTGTAATGCCGTCGATTTCTCGTTTATTATTTATTCCGTTGG